GACTTTGCAATAAAAATAAATAAATCTTGGGCCCAGCACAATAGCGTAGTGGTTAAAGTGTTCACCTTGAACGTGCCAGAATCCCATATGGGCGCCGGTTCTATTCCCTGCGACCCCGCTTGCCATCTAGCTCCCTGCTTGTGGCCTGGGAAAGCAGTCGAGGACAGCCCAAAGCTTTGGGCCCCTACACCCGCATGGGAGGCCTGGAAGAGGCTCCAGGCTCCTGGCTTTGGATTGGCTCAGTTCCAGCCATTGTGGCCGCTTGGGGAGTGAACCATCAGATGGAAGATCTTCCTCTCTGTCTCTCCTCCTCTTTGTATATCCGCCTTTCCAATAAAAATCTTTTAAAAAAAAATCTTTAAAAAGAGAAATAGTGTGCTGTCCATCTTATGGGATCTGTCTACTGAAAACACATGGTCTAAGTCAAAGTGACAGCTATGTCATTTACAGACCTGTGATGCTGAGCAGGTAACAAGATCTCTATTAAATCTCTACCTTCAAAAGTTATTCAATAAAATGGTAAATGCAGATCATGTAGAATGGCACCTTCCATTTACGAGCCAGTGAGTTCAATTGCAGGTTTGGTGACTCTGTGAAGGGATTTGGAATGTTACTTAGTAAATGGCTTGAATTATGGGTTCCATGGTGTTGAACCAGAGCCTAGAATGCAGCGTGTCTTCATACTCGCCTTACCCAGCATTGTCAGGAATTGGCCCAATATTCAGGAATAGATTTGACATTACCTGAAGTTTGTATTTGTCTCATGATGAAAGGCGATCATTGGTACATCTCATTTTTGCCTTGTTCACCCATTTTCATTTCCATTTGCTCATCGTTATTTTCCAGTTCAGGAAAGCTGGTCTGTGAACCACAATGTGTCTTGGATCTGTCTATCTCATGCATATGCATATGCAGCACTGCTAATAGCTGTTCTTAAAAAAGTAATGGCATGTCAGGACATGAAACCTGGGGCCACTGCCTTTACTTAATTAGGCAAAAGTGAATTTGTGCATGTCTGTGCATACAGAATAATCACTTATGTGTAAGTGAATGTTTTTTTCTGTGTGTCCTTTTTCCGATGAGACAGCATCTAGAAAGATCAAAGGCTGATTAATTCCAATACAATATGCAGAAGGGGGAATGTTGTATCTTCATTGTGAATCTCATTCTGAGACCCAGTTAATAGGCCTGTTACTTTTAGTAAAATCACTTTAAAAAAAAAAAAGATGAAGACAGGAGAGTCTTTTATGATGTCCTAGAGCAAGCAGTAAAATCCGGTATATCTCATGCAGTTCTTTTCTGTTGTGTTCCTTTCCTGTTTAAGTCAACCTGTGGCTTGTGGCACATTTAAGGATGCTAATCAATCTCTGGGATGAGATAGTGTGGATATTGAAAAGAGAGAGACAGAGACAAATACACACAAACGTAGCTTAATGTACTATCATTTCAAAGGCTGTCCTGGAAGAATCCTAGGCCTAGCCAAGAAACATGGCCTCTACTCTGAAGCAGATCCCAAAATTTTCATTGAGTCAAGTGGAGTCCTTTCCCTTAGGGGCACATGAAGTTAACCTGATGCTCATAGAGGGGCCTGTTCGGTCCTTGGACATGAAGGAGGTCTTTTTGCAAGATTGGTGTTTGTGTCCCAGCAAAAGGCTAAATACACCTGTTCTAGCTTTCTTTGATTTTTAGACCATGGAAAGTTAGAGGAAAGTTAATTTTGGGAGTCACATGAATTTGAATTTGAATTTAAATCATCATCAATACATTTTAGCTGTACAGACATAAGCCGGCAACAAAACCTCTCTGAACCCCATTTTCTCAAAGGCTAAACAGGAATAAGATGATCTGTTTTTAAGGTTGTCATAACTAATAAGATGAAACAGAAAAGTAGTAATTGCCAGATTTTCCTTTACTCTCTTTTATACCCTGGGCACAATGAAAGTGAACTCCTGTTCTATTGTTCCTGACTGCCTCTGCCTTCAGCACCAACTAGGGTACCTATCTAAGTACTTGGATGGATGCCTTGGTTTGGTGCCCAGATCAGATTCCTGTTTTTAGCCATCATTTCCCAAGAGAGATCTTGGTGCTATCCTTGTTTTTTTCTTTTATATAAAAGCCATAATTACAGGGCAGCAGTAAGGGTGGAAGACGGGGGAAGCTCAGAGAGATGGATAGAGAAAAAGAGATTTCATCTATTGGTTTGTTCTCCAAATAGCTGCAACAGCTGGAGCTGAGCCAGGCTAAAGCCAGGGTCCTCTTCATGGTCTCCAACATGGGTGTAGGGGCCCAAGTATTTGGACTATCTTCCATTGCTTTTCTTGGTGTGTTAGCAGGAAGCTGGATTTGGAAGAGCTGATCAGACAGTACTGGAAATGATACCTGTATGAGATTCATGGCATATGCAGTGGCATGATGTGCTACACCCACAGCGCCTGCCCCACTATTCTTGTTCTGATAATATCCCAAGAAAGTTAGCTCATATCTTATCAATGTCAGGATACATGATTAGAGAGAGATATATACCTTTGTTGAAAATCATGATTTGTGTTGGGTACTTTGTATGTTATCAAAGCTAGGAAAACTGCAACTTACAGATCAAATGAAATCTTTTGCCTGTTTTTGTAAATAAAGTTTTATTGGGGGCACAGTCATACTCATTTTTTCTCTTGTTCTCTTTGCCCTTTTCCTTCGTGGAGTTGAATAGGTAACACAGAAACCATAGGGCCTGCAGACCCTAAAATACTTATTTGACTCCTTAGAGAAAATGCTTGCTGATTCCTAATTTTTGTTGTCTGAACTCCTTGTTATAATATTGTAAGATTGATCTTAAGATGTCGTGTCTATGGCTAGGAGAGTTTAGAAAAAAAGTCAAGTATTATGATTAAGATTGAACCTTTTATAAATGGTGTTTGCATGCCAGCTCTTGCAATTTCCATTTAACATATACTTGAACTGGCTCCCTTTTCCAGTCCTGTTGGATGACCATGACTGGCCTGGGGAACAGTCAAAGTCCTTTGGTGTGGTGTCTGTTAATCCTGGCACTTGTGAGCCTTAATTGTGTGGACGTGTAAGCAAGTGCATGGAATGATTTCTAGGGCAAGTGCTACAGGTGGTAGAGTAACATGGACATGGAATTGTTTTAACCGCAATGGTCAGCAGATTGAGCTTTTCCAAAGGATCCTTGCTGGTTCTGAAGGTGGCACTTGTTGGGTGCCCTAGATGAATAATGTGTGGTGTTTGCACATTTTCAATGTAAGTCTCCTGATAGGATTCCCTTGCTATTGGGCTATTATGCTATTGGGCTGTGCCAGTTGTAGACTCCCCACACTCTCTCCCTGGTCTCATACTCTCTTCTGCACATCTTTCTCCAAATTAGAGATGAAGGTCCTTTCGTAGTGAATACTTTAAGGGTTTCATATGAGGATCTCTGCTTTTCCTGTTTGTCTTCCATCTTATTATTTCCATTCCTCATTCTACGTTCACTCTTCTAGTTTTTCCAAAATTATGACCTGGTTATGATGGAACAAAAGAAATAAAAGTGAAACAATTGGCTATTCTTATTTTAATGGACTGCACAGCAGTATTTGTATTGTAACTGTGACAAGCTGATGATGAAGACAACAGTGACAAAATTGTAACCACTCAACTGGAAGTAACACTATTAGGTAATTTATCCAAGTGACAAAAGAGATATCTAACGAAGCCTGGTGTTAGTGCTAATCAGTTATCACAGATAAAGGGATATTGCAACATTGAGTTTAAGAGGAAAGAGATGAGAAGAGGGGGAAGGCCAGGGTTCATTCTAGGAGTGTTTTCAGTTTAGTCTTTCTGGCTGGCACTGGGGAGGGTCAGTGTCTCTCACTTCATCTCTTGCAGAGCTGCTAACAGAAGATTACACAGACAAGCAGAAGAGCTGCAGGCGCACAGGGAGGAGTGGGAGCTGCAATTAACTTTGTGTCATGTTATTCTCCAACAGTGACCCTTATTTCTCCAAAGACATGATGACGCTCCTGTCCAACCCCTGTGACTTTCTCACTCTCTTGAATCAGTGACTTTTTCAGTCTTTGCTGAGCATATAAAGCAGATAAAAATGGAGCCACTGGTGTTTCAGTGGGGGTGGAGGAGCCAAGTAAAATGAAGCAACATTTCATTTATTGTGCCAGTGTAACTCCGTTGGGAAATAAAAGGTTGATTAAAATTCTTGATCTGTTTAATTATTTACAGTGAATGCTTCTAACTAAATATTTTTGTCTTTATAGCTTTCCATTTATTCTTAACATATTTTAGTAGCCTGTGTTTTTTTTTAAGCTTTAAGATATCCAAGTAGCTCTTTATTCATTCATTCATTTTGCATTACACTAAAAAATGTTGCAAGCAGTCCTCATTGGCCAGTACTATGCATCGCCTACAATTTTTTTTTTTTTAACAAACAAGTGCTTACTATGAATGCAAATCTTCCTCTTGATGGATACTCTAGAAAAAATTTTTAAACTGTAAATTGTTGTTAAATACTTTGAATTGGGGAGGAATTGATAACTTTGTAGAATTTCAGTTTATATTGATGAGGCAGAGGGTTAACGGTGATATAATTACTTCCTGCATGAGCAAGGGGGCTGAATAAGGCATGTGCACCTGTATACATGATGTGCCCCAGTCTCGTTCACCCCAGGTGTTCTGGCTGCGTGCCATTATATTAATCTGAGAAAGAGCAAGGCATATTCATGGTCCAACCCAGTGGGTACTAATTAGGATGCTGCAGACTAATTAATGATGATCTCATGTGTGCTCTCCTTGTAGCTGTACTGAGAAGGTTGTCATTTCTGCATGGCATTTGGCTATGTATCTCTTTCAGCCCATTTGCACTTTTTTTTTTTTTTTTACTGGTTGTAGTTTTTGTGTAAGTGGTGGCGGTGTTTGAGGGTGGATGTACAGACGGCATCTGTTGCTTGCCTGCCAACTTTGCTTAGCTCACATGTGGTCCTTATTGATGTGTTTGCCAGGGAGAAATGCCTGCTGCCTCTCCAACTGGCTTTGGAATCCAAGAATGTGAAGCTGGCCCAACATGCTTTGGCAGGGATGCAGGTATGGCTTTGAATGCAATGTGTTGACAGAAATTGACAGGCAGCTTTGGCATTGAAAGATTAAGGAGTTAACATTTTACACACTGGTGGTTTAAAGACTTAGAACTGTGATTGAACCAGAAAATAACCCTAGAGAATATCAGGATTTGCTTATATTCACCAGAATTTTTTTGTGCAAAGTATTTCTAGGTTGAGCCTTTTTTAGTTGGACCCTTTTTTATGGGGGCTCAGCTAAGCATATGCAGATAAGTGGGACATATTCTGGTGGCATCCAATGTGAGGACCGGGGTGCCGAAGCCTCTCCCAGGAGTAGGAAAGGCTGTCACAGGATGGCGGCTGGCCCAGGGCCGGGAGGTGGGGTTGGTCTCACCAGCAGGTAAACAGGAAGTCACAGAGAGAGGCTGATGCCCTCACTTCAATTATGACATTGCTGCTGGCCTATCAGGTAGAGCCAAGTGGACCCACGGGGAGAAGTGATTGGTGGAGAGTGGTATAAAAGCAGCTGCTAAAAAGTATAGGGGAACGGGCCCAGCGCGGTGGCGCAAGTGGTTAAGGTCCTCGCCTTGCACGCCCGGGATCCCATATGGGCGCCAGTTCTATCCCGGCAGCCCCCGCTTCCCTTCCAGCTCCCTGCCTGTGGCCCGGGAAAGCAGTCGAGGATGGCCCAAAGCTTTGGGACCCTGCACCCGTGTGGGAGACCCAGAAGAAGTTCCTGGCTTCGGATCAGCATAGCATTGGCTGTTGCGCTCACTTGGGGAGTGAATCATCAGACGGAAGATCTTCCTCTCTGTCTCTCCTCTCTGTATATCTGCCTTTCCAATAAAAAAAATTAAAAAATAATAAAATAATACTTCTAAAAGTATAGGGGAACAAGAAGAAAGATGGGGAGAAGAAAGACAGATGGAATGAGAAGAATGGGGCAGCAGAGAGGGGTAGAAAAGCTAAGGGAAAAGCTAAGGCATATGGGATGAGGAGAAGAAGGAAGGGAGAAGAATGGGGAAAAGCAGCAGAGAGGAGTACAAAAGCAATAAGGCCTACGAGGAGCTATGGGGAGAAAAGCAGCAGAGATGGGGAATGAGACCTATGGAGAGAAAAGCAGCTGCTTTTTGCAATAAGAGGTCCGGGTGCAGTTTCTGTTTTCCCAGACCCTCAAGAGCGTGCCTCGTAGGTAGTGTCGCTGCAGGCTGGCGACAATCCAACTTCTGGAAAAGATTCATGAGTCCCTGGTTTCATACAGAATCAAATTTTGTGTGCATTTGACTTCTGATTTTGTATGATGAGAATTGATAGCCAACTGGAAAGATTTTTGTCTCGTTTTTCAGGCTGTGGTTAGGTTAACAAATGAATTATTATCTACAGTCTTGCACATGTTGTGATGCTTCGGTTCAACAAGGGCCACTTATACACCATGGTCCCATGACATTGTAACAAAGCTAAAAATTTCTGTTCCCTGGTGTTTTTTTACTGTACTTTTTCTGTGTGTATTGAATATAGTTAGACATACAAATAGCCCTGTTACAGTCACCTTCAGTATTCAGTACAGTATCATGTTGTACAAATGTGCAGCCTTGGAGCAAGGCTATACCATATAAACTTATGGAAGTACATGCCAGCATGTTTACATAGAAAAATTGCTTAGTGATGTGCTTCTCCAGATGAATCTCCATTATCAAGCAAATGTATGACTATTTTTTGTTTGCAAAGCAAGACTAGAAAAAAGAAAAAAATTATATCAAATACAAAGTTGAATTGTTTGAACACATTTCTTTGAGCATTTGTGTTTGACACAAACTATAATGGGTCTAATTCCAACAGCACAAAGGTAATGACTATGTTGATGCACTGAAAATCTAAAGTCATGTTCCCAAGACACAAGCACAGTAAAGGTCAAGTTTGGGGGGAGGGTATTTTGTTCTGTGTAGTTCTAGATTGATGACATTTGTCCAATATCTTTTTATGTCAGTATGTCCCTATCACTTTTTAAGATATTATATACAGAAGAGTTAACAAGTAGCTCTTTTCCTGGCCAATGAATTTGAGTTAGATAGTGTAAATTTCAACATGCAACAATGTGTGAAATTTTCAAACGTTGTTGGCAACCTTAAGAAAACCTTCCTTTTTTCCAAGGCAAGAAGACCAACCATAAAAATGAAGTGAGAGTTTGTTTTGACCTGCTATTTTTATTCCTTTTTATGTTTTTTTAACCTCTGCCATGTGAATGGCAGCATTGTATTTTTAGGGGCTTTTCTGATTCTTCGTTTCAATGCCTTGGTGAACTAGGAGATTTTCATTTAACATCCCTTGCTATCTCCTGGTAGTTTTAACACATTGATAGACCTTCCCAGTCTGTATCATTTTAATTAACAAACTTGCTTTTCAAACAGATGCAAACTCTTTGGCTATCCTGAATATACTACAGGGTTCTGAATATCCCCTTTGAAAAAAATATTAGATACCAAGGCACAGAGTCTTATGATGGTTTGGGCACTGGCAGGAAGATCAGAGTGGGAGTTCTAGTGAGAGTCCCCCAAGTTCTTCTCAAGCTATACCTCTCAACCAAATGGGAAAGAAGACCACTAAACAAGGATGAACTTCAAGTCCAGGGCAGAGAACAGCTTGCTTGCTGCTCATATGAATGAGAGCTGGCAGCTTCTGGGCAAATTGGCATAGAGTGTGCTGTGAGTTGTCAGCTGAGCTTGTGTGATCTGAAAAGGTGATCCACAGTGTGTGTGACTGTTTCATGTCATACTGCCTCACGTCTGTTTCCTCCAGAGGCCACATCCTAAGCAGCAGGACACAAGCAAGGCATTGGCACACACACAGAACGTTTGACAGAGGCCAAGGGGCTTTAGTTTGGGGAGGAAGAGTTTGAGCGAGTTCCATAGCTGTCCTCCACGCTTTCTCAAGTGCTACCCATTGCTAGCCAACACTAGATAATGTAGAATACAATACACATGGATTCAGAGAACAATGACTGTCAGATTCATAAATAGACAGGATCTGGTACAATCTAAGGATGACTTGTGAAAACTAAGAGTTGTTCTGAAATAGCAAAGGGCTGTCCTATAAGATGGATTTCTAGGTGTCCTCAAAAAATTGTCTTCCTGTTTAGGTTTTTGTGAGACTCATTTCCTGAAGGGAAAATACATTGAGACTTTTGGATTAATGAGTAATTCCTGATACATGGGAACTCACATTAGGAAGTGAAAAGATAGATTCCTAAAAACTTGTCCACAAGCCCTTCCTGTTTCCTGTGACAGAACAGCATTCAGAAAGGGAATGTGTGTTTGTGACTGTGGAGTGGGGATGGGCTACCTTTAATGCATTTGTCCTTCCTACCCACAGTAACCTAGAGATTCACACATGAGAAATTTACTGACTGAAATTTAAAGAGCATTGTTATATGTTAGGAAATGATCTGCCAAAAACTGTGTGCCCAGGATTGGATGTATTTGTCTTCACAATGAGACATAGCATGACTTCTTCGCTAATGACCTCCAGCTACAAGTGAGTGAGTGAGAGAGATTATCAGTACAAAACATGACACAACAGACCAGCAGTGGGAGGAGCCTGTCTGATCATTGCTGTGTGCCTCATTACAGAAGCTTCTATCAGAAGAGAGATTTGTATCCATGGAAACAGACTCGGATGAGAAGCAGCTGCTCAATCAGATCCTGAATGCTGTGAAAGTGACGCCTTCACTCAACGAAGACCTGCAGGTGGAAGTGATGAAGGTTTGTTTGACGTAACCACAGTGTGCATCAGTAGGGGCAGAGGCATGTTCTGATTTCCCACCCCCACCCCAGCACCCTTGCTGCTGCCTTGTGGTCACCTTTCAGTTGGCACAGGTTATTATTCTTGCTTATGGGTTCCCCCTACATTACCTGGAACATTTTTAAATCTGAAGATTTTTGTCCTGCAACTGCTTAGCTGTTGTTTTAAATTGTACATATCACCTTTTAAGAGAATATGAATAGTTCTAGCTTGAGATTGACTGGGTCATCATCCTGCATATTTGTCCTGTTACAACAAAGTAATGTGTTGGCATACACTGAGATTTTGCCATGGTCAGTCTTGGGTATAGAGAGTGTCTTTAAGTCACATTTTTCATTTTCCCTAATTATATGAGCCATTTCTCTCTCATTCCCAGTTACCACCTCCGTTTAGACCTGGGACTTCTCCTTTGCCTTTCTATCTTGCCCTGGGTTCCCTGGGTTGTGTCCAATTTGGTGAGTGAAAGAGTGAGTTGGGCAAAAAAAGGATCAAAATCTGCCCTATAACAATGCCTTGGTCAAAGTGGCATGAACAAATTGCCCCCTTGCTCCCTGGATTACCATGTATACAGAAATATTCAAGAGTGGTTTGTATCATAGCTGATTCTTCCTAGAAATGCGCTGAAAAGTTTTTGTCTTAGATAAGAGACTTCTTCAGGTTTTAGTTTCTGCATTCAGAGAAGAGCTGGTGGATTCTGTGATTCTGTCTTGACAGGTTCTTCATGCCCCAGGCCTCATCCTGATCTTGTCATTGGGTAATTTAGGATGGCAGTTGAGAACTCTGGCCTGAAGCCACCCTGTCTTGGTGTTGCTCTTCCTTTATCTATTTCCTAGCAAGATGTCCTTAACCACTCTATACTTATATCACATTACCTGTATAACTGGGTAAACGATCGTACCTTCCCAATAGGATTTTATTGAAGATGAAATCAGGTGACATTTGTAGAGAACTTACGATGGTATCTAAGCAATAGTAAGTGGTTTAGAAGTATTATAAAAAGGGGGCTTTAAATAGTGGTGGAAAATGGAATTAAAAGGTAATTTAATTTTGGTGTGAAAAAAGCCTTGAAATCCATGCATAAATTTTTTTAACATCTTCCATGAATTTTTTTGAAGCCATCATGTTAATACTGCTACTGTTTTTCATTACTGCTAGGGAAGAAGCTAGTGCAGGGAGTCTCGGAATTATGACGTGTTTACTAGTGTCCCACTGTGCCTCAGACCCAGAAGCCATAGAGAACCCCCAAGCTAGCTGATCTTAAAAAAAAAAAAAAAAAAAAAAAACAGGGCCCGGCACGGTGGCGCAAGTGGTTGAGTCCTTGCCTTGCACACCCCGGGATCCCATATGGGCGCTGGTTCTAATCCTGGCAGCCCCGCTTCCCTTCCAGCTCCCTGCCTGTGGCCCGGGAAAGCAGTCGAGGACGGCCCAAAGCTTTGGGACCCTGCACCCGCGTGGGAGACCCGGAAGAGGCTCCTGGCTTCGGATCGGCATAGTATCGACCCGTTGCGGCTCACTTGGGGAGTGAATCATTGGAAGGAAGATCTTCCTCTCTGTATCTCCTCTCTGTATATCCGCCTTTCCAATAAAAAATAATAAAAATAAATCTTTAAAACAAAGATTTAATTCATTTTTAACTCATTTAATTTTGGAGTGTTCAGTTTTGCCTTGGCCTTTGACATAACTCAGATTATATGTTATTCTAAAAATTCTTCCAAGAGTTAGAAGATCTCTCTGGGAGAGTTCCAGAATTTATACCTTAAAATGAGGAAGTATCGATTCTTGTAGGTGTTATGAGGAAGCACGATGTTTAATGGCTATATCAGCAGTAGTTCCTGTTCTGAAAACTTAACAGTTCCACCCCCACAATGCTACACTGCATGCTACAGTGCTAACCATGCAGTTAACTGCTCTGACCATTGTACAAATCCAGTCTTAGTAGGCTTTCCTTCTCTCTATTTCTCTTTCTCTCTCTCTCTCTCTCTCATTTTTAAAAACTTATATGGCAGAGATAGAGAGAGGGCTCTTCCATCTGCTGCTTCATTTACCAAATGACTGTAATGGCCAGAGCTGAGCTAATCTATAGCCAGGAGTTTCTTGCAGGTCTCCCATGTGGGTGTAGGAACCCAAGGCCTTGACCCATCATCTGCTGCTTTTCCAGTCCATTAGCAGGGAACTGGATTGGAGAAGAAGCACCCATGATTTGAACAGCTACTCATATGGGATGATGGCACTACAAATAGACTTAACTTACTATGGCCATTCACTACAAATCCAGATCTAGGCTAATTTTTTACAGCATACTTTGATTTTATACAAACATATTTTAGCCAGACTGCTAGCAAACAAATGACATGGTAACTGTGCTTGGAATGTTATTAGCATTGAATAAAACTTTGGAGATGGGCTTCTCCATGTGATAGATCAGCAGACCAGGAGTGAATAATCTTTTCCTTTTTCTGCAACTTAAAATACTCATTTTAGGTTTAGAGTTCTCCATATTATAGAATTTGTATCTTATGTAACATTTTATGCTTTTTTGTTTGTTTGCACAGGGAGAATCTAAACCCATTCAGTAATGATCTGTGCTCTGATCTTTACCCTATACTACTGTAGGTCTTTATGACCCAAGTAAGAAACTCTATACTAAGACCTTGTTATCCTATGATCATTACTACTGTGTTTGTCACCTATCCTCCCAAATATTATTATATTAAAAAAAAAAGAATTAGCAGCATGGCATGATAGCTCAATGGCTAATCCTCTGCCTGTGAGTGCTGGCATCCTATTGGTCATATTTCAGCTGTCCCACTTCCCATCCAACAACCTGCTTGTGGTCTGGGAAAGCAGTACAGGATGGTTCAAAACCTTAAGACCCTGCGCCCACATGGAAGACCCAGAAGAAGCTCCTGACTTTTGGATTGCCTCAGTTCTGGCCATTGCCACCATTTGTGGAGTGAACCAATGGATAGAAGATATTTTTTCTCCTCTTGGTAAATCTGATCTGCATTTCCAACAAAACTAAATAAATCTTAAAAAAATTAAAAGAATAATTAGATGAATCCGTGGAAGAGAAATCCTACTAACATGGAGGATGTGCTTCTGCATAACTTATTTTGATGATAACATTATTTAATTCCTGTAAAAATTCTCCAGTCATGTTCTGTAAGTATTATGAAGTATTTTAAGTTGTGATACAGTAGATATTTTAAAATATCACTCTGGAATACTGTCCAGGATGAATAAATCTGCATCATACAAGTTCATTTCTGTCCACTTATGGCATAGTACATTTTTAAACTAAATTGTAGGTGCTATTTTTAAAAGTATGTGTTTTATTCATGTACTGCTGTCTTCTAGGGCTTATAAACATAAGAAATGGAATCCTGTCATTTTCGTAAGAGTATGTGACCGTTGTATTAGATTCACAGAGAATAATCATATCTTAGAAATTGCCCCAAGATTGAACAAAAAGTGGCTAATAACAGGAACCAACATTCCAGATGATAGTACATTTGTTTAGGAATATGTCCAATCAATATTAGGAAAAGAAAATCAATGATGCTCGTTTCTGACAAATAGGAGTAAAATGAAATGACCTCATCACTATTCTGTATGCTGTGTAAGCAGGAGGGGGAGAAAATAAAGCCATGATTTATTGCAGTAAGTATGAAGCCCAAATAAAAATTTTATAGCTTGAAAAATAAGTGTCAGAACTGTAAGGGATCAGAAATAAGGTTTCCCTAAAGATAGATTTTCTTCAAAATGGGTTAGTAGTTGAATGGTAATTAGGTTAAATCCTTGTCTGGTTTAGTAACATCTTCCCATGCTGTGTGAACTATTTCCATAAAGGCCAGGCTGACTTCAGAAGAGCTCTGTGTGTAACTAATACTGTCTCTGATTACAGTAATTAGGACTTTCCTTCTTTCTAGTGGATAGCCTTTAGTGAGGTTATTAACTGATGCCCTGGCTGAGTCTGCAAAGACTGAAAGGAATTGTGGCTGTCCTTTTGCCTCTGTTAGCATGCGGGAGATACGGGCAGCTTCTCCTGGATGGCTGACTTTGGTGGTAAGGTCAGAAGTAGTATTGGATCCTAGGCAGTCATTTAATGAGTGTTCTGTTTCTGGATGACTTCTTTTGCGTGCATCTTTAGATCATAGAAATGAATGCTGGTAGAATGCTCTGCAGTTTTTCAGGGCGAAATGGCAGGGAATGATTATTTAATACTGATGATGTTTCAGACACTCTGATATACACCAAGATCACCCAGCAAGTGACTGACAAGGTCTGAATGTACGATACATCACGTCTGCTTGAGGCCAAGCCTGTGCTCTTCACTCAGAGCCTGTTGACTAAATCCTGAAAGACTTGCCAGTGGTAGTCAATACTACCTATTGTATCAACAATTGAACAGAATCGTACAGTCACAGGCAAATGAGAGTATGCTAACATGGTTCGTTGTCTTGATTTCCCAATAATGATGACATTCCCTCACTGGTTCTATGAGATAGATTCAAATATGAAGAATTGAATCAAATTCTAGTTTTCCCAATTAGCTAATTGCTCTGGTTTGTGTATGATGTAGAAAATGTTGTTTGTGTGTCGAAAACTCGGCAGATGTCCACAGAAAATAGAAGTGGCATTCAGAAAGTTCATGGGAAACACCTATTATGCAAAAAACTACATGGATTTTAAAACATTTTTGCACAGGTGTAAACCTATATTTGAATTTCATTTTACAAAAACATGTTGACATACTCTTGTACAAAGGCAAGCAACTCAGACAAAATGTTCACCCTCTGTGAGGCTTGTAATCCTAGCTGCAGGGTGTCCGCTTAAAACTGATATTACAACATGGAAAGAAATGTGCTTTTAAATTGCATAGGAATATGATCACTGTAGTCAGGACCTTGATCTAAGAGGAAGAAACAGGCTAAGTGGAAGGACCTTTCAGAATTCCTCA